ATAGTAAAAGAGTGCGGGTACTAGACTGGCCTGCCTGTAGTCCAGACCTGTCTCCCATTGAAAATGTGTGGCGCATTATGAAGCGTAAAATACGACAACGGAGACCCCGGACTGTTGAACAACTTAAGCTGTACATCAAGCAAGAATGGGAAAGAGTTCCACCTGAAAAGCTTCAAAAATTGGTCTCCTCAGTTCCCAAACGTTTACTGAGTGTCGTTAAAAGGAAAGGCGATGTAACACAGTGGTAAAAAGGCCCCTGTGCCAACTTTTTTGCAATGTGTTGCTGCCTTTAAATTCTAAGTTAATGATTATTTGCAAAAAAAAAATAAAGTTTCTCAGTTTGAACATTAAACATCTTGTCTTTGCAGTGTATTCAATTGAATATAAGTTGAAAAGGATTTGCAAATCATTGTATTCTGTTTTTATCTACGATTTACATAACGTGCCAACTTCACTGGTTTTGGGTTTTGTATATAAATAAAATCTAAAAAAAAAAAAAAGAAAAGAAAAAAGAAAGTTTAAAAAAAAATAGCTGGAAAAGGTGCTTGAAAATTATTTTTAAAAAATCTGCAACATAATTTAAAATGTAATAAACAAAATAATCATAAATACATTTTTGCCCTAGCTTTTTTATTTTTCCCGTAGTATTTTTTTTTAATTTAAACAATTTTCTGAATCTATTTATTTTTTTCAAGTTGTTGGGCATTTCTTACCAAGTTGCTCATTGCCCTTTTTCCCATATTTTTTAAAGAAATCACACTAATTTCGCTCCGGGTTCAAAGGTTTAAGTACTTGCGAAATGTGTCTGAAAGCAGCACAAGAAAAGTGATGCCACTCCAGGTTTCAGGGGGGCTAAATGACATTCCTGTTTTTCTAAAATGATCCAAATGCACAAAAATGAAATATCTCAAAAATATTGTACTTCTGTTCAGGTGCTGCACATTTTTGTACACTGAGGCTGTTCCGGGTCGAATTTGAGTGTCTGTAATAAATATCAGATCCACCAGTGTGGGTCCAATCAGAGAAAATGGTGGTTTAAGAGAATCTTAAAACTGTACATGCCACATCGGTGTTTATTTTTCTAGCACAGTAATGACAGAATTCAAGGGCTGTCATCTGCTGCGAACTCCCTACATCCATACCACATTTTGTCCACGTCATTAAGGCTTTTATGTTTTCATTTTTTTTTAAGTACAATAAGACATGATTTTGTGTGATTGTTTATTCTCTATAATCAAGTGGTGTAAAACAAAAAATACATTCTTCCTGCTCTCTGATACATTAGATTAGAATTAATCACCCCTTTTTTACTGTCATATAGGCTATTTATACATTCTAAATAAATCTGTAGCTCAAAATGTAGTGTAGACACTTGTTAATGATTGTGTTCTTGCGCTAGGTCAAAATGCACTTAACAAGGCATCAATTTTAGTTGAACCACCAGTGTGTGTACTTACACAACTTGTGACAGCACAGGTGAGGGAACAAGAGGCGTTTGATTAGCCAGCCTTTGCTGGTGTCTGTTTTCTGAGGTTGAGTTAAGTGGATCAGGGCTGTTAGTCAGGTGAGACTTTGGAAGTTTCTTCTTCACACCAAGTTGCCCACTTGTGTGTGTGTGTGTGTGTGTGTGTGTGTGTGTGTGTGTGCATGAAGGTGTACAACTTTTTTTACTTGACAAAGATCCAGCATGAATGAAAGAGTCTCCAGTTTCCTGCTGAGTCCATAGTGATGTTCTACTTTTTGTAAATTATTGTTGAAATTCTGTTCATGACGACCAAACTGATTAGTTACTTAAATTCAGTGTTATGCAGTAGGTACTTATGAAATGTGGCTCATCAAGAATTTAAGTTTCATAAAGTTGGATTGGGCAAAGCAACATATTACATGTGACAACTTGGAACAGATTTATTA